GGTCATTTAATGTCGAAATTTAATTTTCCTGAGCTTTGGTTACCCACCACCACCACCAACAACAAAACAAAAATGTATTGCTGTTAATTTTTTCTAGTGTATTTATGTTTTGATCCCAGTTTAAGGTTTCACTATTTGTCTATAGATGGGACCCTAACACGTGCTAGCAACTCCGGGTCAGGGTGGACCTAGGAACAAAAGCAATTAAGAAGTGGTCCCACGCTTCTCAAAACCTCCCGATCAGAGGTCTTGTTGCCGGATGTAGTTTATTGTCATACCCAGGACGACGGCACAATGGCTGAAGCAGGGCCAAAATTAGACGAAGAGAGCACCCCCCCCCCCAACAAAACCTCCGAATCCTCTATTCTCACGAGTAGAGGAAAATGGAAGAATGTTAAATAATTTGAGTAAAATCAAGGATGATGACGCGTGTTTACAATTACTGAATAGTTATTTAGAGTCTACAATGTGTTATAGCAGCAGGTGTTAAAAAAAAGGCCTATGACAGTGTTAAAAATATTATATATACCTTGGCTGGAAGCCCTCTAGATTTTTAGGCACGAGGATTCAGCCTGCTAAGCCTATAGGTAAATCCGGCACTGGAGTGAAGCATTATGATAGTGGGAACAGAGATGAGAACATTTAAAATGTTTACTTCAAATTTATATTCTGAAATATTGAAAAATATTGAGAGAAGTTATTGAAAATCTTAAAGCATTGACGGTGTTGGAATATTGTAACAAGGGACGTAACTCTTTCATTTTTATATATTATATCAATGTTCAGATTAAAACACTTTATAACAAGAAAAAATATCTTCATACCAGTATGCTTATTATTGGGATTTTATAAATATATGCATTTTTAACTTAATACATTTCTATTTACATCAGCAGTTAATTTTCTTTTTAAGTTGTTTTTACATATCAAAAGCAAATTAACAAATTTACTTGAATTGGTGTAACATTAGCAAAAAATACCCTCCATTTACCTTAGATTAATACCTCAGTGGCAGGAAATTAGTAGCAACAGTCTCAGGGTGGCTTCCCTAATCTCTACAATCTTATTCAATTCTAGTGTTAACCGTTACCTTCCCTGTATAACCCCAAAAACATTTTTTCGCCTGCACAACACCACACAGCAACCCACTACCTTCAGTGGCTCTTGGGTTTTGTATTGGGTGAACATCGGCATTAAAAAGTCTATAAAAATTCTATAAAAAGTCTATGAAAAGTCTATAAAATACGATAAACTTTCGTTTTCGCTTCATATATGAAATAATTATGTTATTAGATGAGTTTTAAAGTATTTTCAATGTGTTTCTTTTTATCGTGTAAATTGTAGTGAACTGCCGCAGAGGGCAAAGAGGCCCAGGGTTGCATGCATGTTTTTGCAATGCTAAAATAAAATCAAGAATAAAATGACCTATCTCCAGCACAAGCAAAGATTCGAACGTTCCTTGCGGTATAAACTGTCCAGTGGAGAAAGAAATGGCGGCTTCGCGGGTCACATATTTAAAATAGATCTCGGAGTAAAACGCTCTTTCGCAAGATTATCTTTGCGCATATGAAAATTGTGAATGTCAATGATAAATAAATAAATAAAAATTAGAAAAAAATAAAATAAAAAATGAAAAGACCGAGACGACCAGTCAGTGAGGAAAAATAATAAAATAAAATAAAATAAAATAAAGTAAAATAAAATAAAATGAAATAAAGTAAAATAAAATAAAATAAAATAAAGTAAAGTAAAATAAAATAAAGTAAAATAAAATAATAAGACGGTTGACTGTTGTGGTGAATTGGCTACAAGTTTCGCGAATGAGAGAGACAAAAGAAACCCATTGCAGGCATTAATTGCTACAATAAGTTTAAAGCTTTTTTTTACTACAAAAATAGTTTTAAAATATAAACGAATAGAGATTCTAAATGTTGTTAAATAAAAACCGATAATTATTACGGATTGTATTTTGTTATAATGTGAATAGAAGTTTATTATTTTGTCATATTAAGATATTTTTTATTTGATACCTCTGCCATATCTTTAAGAAGATTTGTTGTCTTTAATTACTGTATATGGTCTATTCGCTTTTCTATAAAACGGGTGAGGGCAAACTGGTTTGTAACTTTCAATAACTCAAAAACCAGACCATTGAGATTTCTTCATTCATTCTTCAGTCACAATTAAAAACTGAACTCTGAGAGAGGCTCCCCCATACTTTAAGCGACTGTCAAAATTCAGGATCTCAAGTGAAACTCATACGGTCCACTCATTCTACCACTCCAGGAAGTATCTGACTCAGAGACGGCGCGTCTTAACCCCCAAAACCCCTGACCTTAAACACTAGCGTCGGCCATGATCTGATTCCTCCTACAATGTTTTATTTTTACAAAAATTAGATTATTTATTTGGGGGAATTCTAGTAAAAAAAAAATATAGAAAAATAAAAAAAAAATGTCCGTGAGTATGAATGGTAAAAATCTTAGAGAATGGTGACCTCGTAATTGTCTATGACTGGTTCAGAGTAACATTCATAGCATGTCGCGCAATAATATTGATCCGCCTTTCATTGAATATCGTGCCCAATCTTATCATATCGATCTTTATATCCCTTCAGTGTCAAGATTGAACAGACATGAAATGATTAATAGTCTCAATATTTACATCACAGTATCTACATATTGGGTTTGCAAATTTTTTATAATGTTTGTCTGGTAATTATTTATTGATAGACTTTAGTCCTACCCAAGTACAAGGTTCTTGTGGTCCTCCAACGAATCTAGGTTACGTTACCCCAGAATCAATGATGCGTTGAGTCCACTCACTCTAATAAATCTCAATTTTCAGAAAGTTGTTTCATATAAAATATATATTTTATTGTAACCTAATAATGGATCATATGCAATATGGATGCAATTAGAAAATTTGAAAATAAATACAATGTATTTAAATACAAATTAGATCATGATAGATCATTCCATCTTAAACAAATCAATGTTTATTATTTATTCGGACTATTGTCCTCATCTTTGTCGTCATATTTATTACAACGTTTCGGCCGTTGTACTCTCCGGCCTTCTTCAGATGGTTGGAATGTCGAACTGAACCCTTTATTTCGTTCAGTGGGGTAGACTGTTCTAGTTCCACGTGCCATGTTTAATGGATGTCAGTTATCAGTTACCTCCTGTTAATTTCCCTCTGAAAGTTTTCTACTGCCTTAACCGGGTATTGAACTCAAACTCTTTGGGTCCTGTCACTGGATCTAACCAACGCCTTTATCCACTATGCCATGTTTTGCGGTAATTTTTTAATTTTTCTTGTAAAATAGTTGAGTAACAGCGAATATTATGATATAACGATATATAATTTTGTATAATTTTATATATCAACCAACAGTATTTAGAAACATTAGGACAAACTGGAAAGGTTTCTGTGATGATAAATCCTAACGAGTGAATTTTGCATAGCGTTTTTTTAACTTAACATGAGCAAAACAAATTCCCAGATTTGGACGTGAAAAAAAAAACGTCAGAATGACATGAAGGTGTCCCCATTTATTTAAATGTGACACCCAATTCACCTTGTCTGCCTCATCCTCCAAATTTAATAAAGCAACTCCCACGACATCTGGCTATGATGCTTCGTCACTAATACTGCTCATAAACGGATACGTACAGTGCATCTGCCTCTAGGAGACATAGCCAACATTCAGTTCAGATATTTATTGTAGCACATCTTAATTTATCGATACAAAATATATACATGTTAACGCATTCTATCAGTCAAGATCGGGAGCCATGAGACCTATACCTGGTGTTGCATAAGAACATTTATTATTATTATTATTATTATTATTATTATTATTATTATTGATTCATTTTGCATACACATTTCTTTCCGGGTCCCAATCAGAAACATAAGGTTAGAAATAGCTTCATGGCATTTTCCATTGATAATTATTGTAAAAAAAACTAAGATCACACACATTTTACATGGATAAATGACTTCGTAAAGAGAGTACTTGTAAGTATGTCTTCGTGCATGTTACTGTACTTGTGAGTACAATTTTTTTCTATTTCCTTAAACCATGGGCTACCAAGAATCCCTTCAATGATTATATCGAACCATTTTCCAATCAATCCGAGATCGCCAACTACAACTGAAATTATTGATGTCCTTGTGTGCCACATTTTTGAGATTTTCACTTCAAGATCCTTAAATATTTTTTTTTTTTTGAAGATCTTCAAAGATAGATTACAAGCTGCAGTGACTGCCATGTCAATAAGGAAGCAGATTCTGCTTTTGTCGTCTTTGACCACGATGTCTGGGCGATTAGCTTCCATTTTTCTGTCTGTGTGTATTGTAAAATCCCATAAAATTATTACAGGTCCTATTTCTGTAACCGGGTCTGGGTGATGGTCATACCAGTTTCTTACGGTTTCCTTTCCGTAAAAGTTGGATATTTTTCCAGTGCAGATACTGACCCACTCTATCATACAGAGTTTTATATTCAAGGGGTGCTAAACCCGGGAAATTTGGTCAATTGTTTCTGGATATTTTCTGGATATTTATCAAAGAATATTTCGGGTTAACACAATTTTTCAGTATTACTTCTTCAAGAACCCGTTTCTAAGCCACGTCGTCAATTTCTCCAAGAATATACAACATCTTTCTTAGTATTCTCGCCGACCCCAACAACGTCATGTTTTAAATAGGCTGAACTCTTTTTAGGATCGATATCTGTTCTACTCTCGCTTCCATCGTTTTTGGTCCATTTTAAACTTCATGTTCCATGTTGTTCTCAGCACCCAGGTAATGTCCTTATATTTAATTAAATTCTTCTTCAAGTTCCCTTTGTAATCTATCGGCCAATAACCTTCCCGACGTGTCAGCTCCTTTTTTATTATTATTTATTTATTGACTGCTAAAGTAACTTTTAGTATGATATGTACTGACCAGGAACTTCTATAACCTCTTATTTCATTTACTGCAAAGTCTTGTTAATGCTCGATGTTGAAATATAGATAGATAGATAGATAGAAAGAAAGAAAGAAAGAAAGAAAGAACATACTGAGAAAAAAAGAAAGAAAGGAACATACTGAGAAATAAATAAATAAATAAATAAATAAAGGAACATACTTAGAAAGAAAGAAAGAAAGAAAGAAAGAAAGAAAGAAAGAAAGAAAGAAAGAAAGAAATAACATACTGAGATAGATAGATAGATAGATAGATAGATAGATAGATAGATAGATAGATAGATAGATAGAAGTAACTTTTAGTATGATATGTACTGACCAGGAACTTCTATAGCCTCTTATTTCATTTACTGCAAAGTCTTGTTAATGCTCGATGTTGATAGATAGATAGATAGATAGATAGATAGATAGATAGATAGATAGATAGATAGATAGATAGAAAGAACATATTGAGAAAGAAAGAAAGAAATAAATAAAGAAAGAAAGAAAGAAAGAAATAAAGTAATAAAGGGACATACTGAGAAAGAAAGAAAGAACATACTGAGATAGATAGATAGATAGATAGATAGATAGATAGATAGATAGATAGATAGATAGATAGATAGATAGATATGAACATGCTATAAGAAAAAGAGAGAGAGATTTTAGCTGAAAAGGTTCTTGGGGGTACACTAACTTTAACACTTCCATCATCACAATCCCCTTTTCTTATTAACGTGAATAAAAATCAAATCAATTCAAACATTTGCCGATTTCATTTGTCTACGGAATGTTACTCTTTGGTCATCGATCCGACCGTGTGGACAAAAGACATGTCCAATCACAAACAGACCACATGTCACCAACAATCTGCTACCGGCTCTACCCGCTCAGTGAACGATCTAAAATTACTCAATAATGACCCCAGTAGTACACATACACGCTCGCATACATACAGACACACATACATACATATATATATATATATATATATATATATATATATATATATATATATATATATATATATATAAAGAGAGAGAAATTTATTTGGTGTGTTTGTGGACTTTTCACGCGTGTCCGTGCCCATATGTAAGTGTGTGCATATGTTGCAGTTTCGCCGTCAATATATTTCTGTATGTGGGGGGGGGCTCCTTGTAACCGCTTCTTTTCACAGTAGTTTATCCACAATGATTTTTCCCCTTCCACCTGCCACATCGCACTAAAGACGTGGCAGACGACCGCATCTAACAACACATTATTGAACTTAACTCTCCCTAGAAGAACCTAAAAAAGGACTTTTCTCAAAGTTACGGCGTAATCACATAAAAGTAAGTTCTTTTCAATTACCTCGTGATCGTATCTAGTTTTACTATATGTATATATATATATATATATATATATATATTATTTTAACATCACTTGATGTGCACTACTAAACAAGCTGATTTCACCAACTCTTTGTTGGGGGAGTCAGCCCTTCAATCTTTGTGAATATCTGTTTAGAAATCGTGTCTAAACATGACATTGAGTTTGTTCCTCACTGAGTGGTTCACAATTATAGTCTTGTGACAGAATAGCCTTAGTCTTGCTTCTTTAGATCTGATTTTAATTATACTCGTCTATGTGTCTTTGCAACAATCTAAGTATTATGGTCAGTAGTTCAATGCATGCTGACTAAACTCCAGAGGTCGGTGTTTAAATCTATAAGGGGAATAAGTTGTTAGGCACATAAAAATAGTCTTATATGTGTGGATTGTTCAGTGGAAAGGCAATGGGTTCATTTTCAATTAATGCTATGACTTCTGAAATAAATTCTAAGTTTCAACCTCAGTAGACAGACTTAAAACAATTTTCTATTCAACACGCAACCAAAAATCTTTCCGAAAACAATTTCTTTAAACTTTGGTATATTCATGGCAAACCTGTATTTTGGGGGCCCGTAAACTTGAACCAATATAGGAACCCATTCACAACTGGCAACAACAGATTCGAGGATCCAAAATGTAGGCCATGAATAGATTCTGGTGATCTCAATGTTCCAGTACAGCCTAAGGGTTTGGGCGCTGCAAGCCCCAAGAAAATTTTTAAATTTAACCAATTAGGAGGTAATTTTGAGGGCATATGAAATGAATATTTCCCTTCAAATCGGTCAAATTTTAAAATTTTGAGGATATTGTAAGGCCAACTTTATCTACTTCAACACATTGGCTAATGATTCTTTCACTAAAATGGCCTTATTTTAATAACAAAGACTTAAAATAAGATTTTGCTGAAAAAATCATCACTTAAAAAAAAAAGTTGCTTCATGGGTTCGTCTGGGATTAGGGTTAGGGTTAAGGATTAGGGAGCCTGAAGCTTAAGCCTCATTAGTTTCATAGTAGATCCGCCACTGAGTAAAAACTTTTTGACAAACTACAAACCCAGCGGAAAAAGGATATATATTTAACTTTATATATATGTATAACATATTTATGTTATAATTTTCGAATATATTAAAATTTTCGAATATATATATATATATATATATATATATATATATATATATATATATATATATATATACTTTATTTTAGGATATTACATTAAAACTTGTAAAAAAACGCTACACAAATGCAATCACGTTTCGCTGCATATGAACACATCTCATCAGGCGTTAGTAAATAAGTGAGTATACAATTTATTGAGAAAGGTACGTCGGAATTGGACTCCATTCGTTCTCATTTTATATATATATATATATATATATATATACCGTAGTTCCCACTATACATGGTTCATTTAAAGAAAAAAAATCCTCGAATTTACAGCCAGTGTCTTATGCCCAAATTGTACGTTAAGAGGATCAGACCTAAACACTTCGATTAGACAAAGTTTTCTCGCTGACCCCGGAAATAAAAAAAAGGTACGATTATACATGATTAAATTATCGTTTCAAATCCAAATTATGCTAAATCTTTAAATAACGGTGATGGCGGGAGCTACGCAGGAGCCTGGAGTAGAAATTACTTTCTTGTTGTGGTCAGATGCCGAAGTGTCATGTCCACGTCACGCTTCATAATTGAACTCCTGTTGATATCAAAAAAGATAGGCTTTAGGATTGAGGTAGTGACTGCATTTACTTGAACTTGATAGCCTCCCATTGTGACAAAAAAGCCTTATGTTGTAGCAAGGGCACCATATGGTAGTTGCAACCAGGTATATATATATATATATACCCTGAAAAATTTACCAATATCGCTTGGTTAATACCAATTTTGCCGCCAAATCATTGAATTTAATAAAATATGACAGTGTAGTAATTCTGAGGCGGGGGGTCAGTCTGTTACTTAATAATAGCAGGAAAGTTATCCCCAAATTTATGTTCAGTAAAAACTTATATTAATATTTAATGTAAATCGGTTGTTTAATACTAAATTTAATTTTTTTCAGAATTGCGAGAGAGAGAGAGAGAGAGAGAAAGCGTTTCTGTCTGTTAATCATATATTTAGGTAAGTTAAAAATACATGTAACATATAAGTGTATGAGATAGATAGATAGATAGATAGATAGATAGATATTAACAGACTGATAGTTATGGGCATAGATAGATAGATAGATAGATAGATAGATAGATAGATAGATTGTGTTGAATTTTTCATGTAGTTGTTATTCGTCTCGAATGTTGTTATTTTTCTTTATTTTTTAATTTTTTTTTTTTTTTTTGTTACTTTTCAATTGCAGTTATGGAATCCGACTTGGGTCACCAGCCAGTTGTCGGTTGCTTTTTGTGTGTGATACTTTTTGCCAGCCATGTTGTGCATGCAAGAATCAGTTTCGAGAAAGATCTGAGCATGGACTTCGATTTTCCACCACGAATAGAGAGAGCTATTGATGATAAAGTACCTCAAGGTCATCTGAGGCCGCTTGGTAAGTGGTATTTCTTTTTCGTTCCTATGAAGATGGATTAAGTAACGACTATGCAAAAAAAAATGATAAAACACACACACACACACATACATATATATATATATATATATAAACTCAATCTATGGCAAAAGTGATATTTGTCATAGCTAAATATTGAGAGTATATATATATATATATATATATATATATAAATGTAAAAGACAGTAAGAAAACTGTAATAGTTGCTGACGCGTTTCGTCCGATGTGGACTTTTTCAAGGAAAAACGGAACGAATTTATTAAACAAAATAGCTAATAACAAAAACAAAATGTCTTTAGCAACTGGAAGAATTTAGAGAACGCTACTTTCATACTGTTAACTGAAATTACATCAATTACTGTCACGTGTGGAGATATTGTTTTTATTGCTGTGTTGACGGATTCAACACCGCAATAAAACTTAAAGAATAAGCAATTAAAGAATGGTGGCAATACACCCATTATTACGTGGGATATTGTAGCTAAATATATTTCCTATTGTCTTTTACATTTATAAATATTGTCTTTTTCTACAGGTTAACTGTGAGAAATTTTTCATATATATATATAAATTTAGCAAAAGATTGCTGTCCTATTAGTGATTGCGAAATCATAAAGCAGGCGCAAAAACCTATATTATTCTATAATCTGTGGGCAAAAAGAAATAACTCAGAATTTCGCATTGCTACGGGAACATATAATTCAGCAGAAGCATGTAAAATTCTGGGAATCTTGTTATTGCAGCGACTAAGATTTATTTTCGGAGTCTATAGAGATTACGGTGTAATTCTTCTCCGTAAAACAAGTCCAAGAAATATAGACCGATTGAGAAAGGAACTGATCAAATATTTCAAAGATCTACATATTACCCCTATTACCAAAGCTAAAGTGATCAACTTTCTCAATGTGACCTTAGACTTGAATAATAATTACTACAAACCATATACCAAAGACAAAAATAATGTTAACATCAGCTATAGCTGCGTTAGTAACATTGATAAATCTATATCCCAACATAATATTATATTAAACAGATACATGTCCAACAATGTCATTTTTTAAATCAATCAGCTGCCGAAAAAAATATGGTCTGTTCCTTAAACGGCCAATGTATGACTGATAAATATTGTATACCAAGCTAAGCATCCATTCCGGTAACGATGTCAAATTTTATTTTGGTTCCACTGAAAATCCTTGGAAATATCGTTTCTACCATCATTGAATGACTTTAGGCAATGTAAGATATATAAACTGCACTGCTCTCTCTTAACATTTCTGGCAATTAAAGAATGGTGGCAATTCCCCCATTATTACGTGGGATATTGTAGCTAAAGCCAAATCTTACAATGGTAAAGGCAACAGATGTATTTTAAATAACCATAGCTTATTAAGCAACAGAAATGAATTGATGGTTACATGTAGGCATAAAAATAAATATCTATTGAAATATTTTTAATGTAAATTATGGTTTGTTTTTTGTTTGTTTGTTTTTTTTAATAACAAAGAACCAGTAATCTCCCTTTATGCTTAATATAAAAAATTAATATTTACAACTCGAAAGTAATTTTTTTTTACATATATATTTCGCAAGGTTTTCAACGTCACACGGACGGACCGATCAGCCAAATAGAAGGTATGCCATCACCGGAAGTATTTTACAAGTATATTGATGATAATAAACCAGTGTTTATGGTTGGAGCCATCGCAAATGTGTCTGTCGAAAAAACTTGGGAAAAAGATGAATATTTAAAAGAAAAGTATGTATTCCTTTGTTGATTTGAAATTTTATTCATTAATTTCAAAATGATTACCAAAATCAAGGAACCTCTTAGTCAAATAAATACAAAAATACAAAACCATTTCTACATAATAATCGCAAAAAAAGACAAGGACAATTGTAATCTCTTTACTACAACACAGTATTTCAACTCACCTAATCATTTGGGTGAGATTGGGTGGAGTAATGGATAGCGGCTCCGACTGAAGAATCAGAGAGCCGAGTTCGAATTCCGATCGGATCCATTACATTCATTCACGTGCTAATACCATTGAGAAAGGTATGAATCCTTTTTCTTCTACCCCCAGACTTGTATAACCGGTCTAGGAGAAGCTCCGTCGGGCTATCTTGCCCAAGAAACACCACTTCTACTGTGGCTGAACCTACGATAAAAGAAATCATAATATAGGCAAAGTTAGATGCGTCCTCCTCTTCTAATTCTACGGCTATCAGAAAATCGAAAGCATTTACATTGTCAAACTTAATCCCCACAATTTAGAATTAAATAAAGTCCAAGGAATTTCACAAAAATAACGACTAAAATAGCTTCATTTTTTTTTCAAGTTTTAGTAGTTGAATGAGACCGAGGTTATGTAGTAATACATGCTTTTATGTTACTTTCCTCTTATAGTTTATTTATATGTCAAAAACAATTTTAGGGAAAACATGTAAAACAAAATACCCAAAACACATATAGAAAAAAAAAAAATCTTTAAATTTAAACTTCCCAGCGTCGCTCGTTTGTGCGCATGTGTAGTCGTATCAATGTAACAAAATTTAGTCCGATGAAGTCGTAAAGAACGAAAAGCGTCACACGAAAGTCTTTCCACTTGGTCATAAAACATCTTTCCCCTAACAATTAATCACAAACAATTAAAAGAGAATGGAAAACAATTGCTTTAAACGGAAGGAATTATGTAACGGATAAATATGTTGTCATTTGATTGCTTTATCGGATATGTGCTGAAGACAGTCTTAAAAATAATAATATACATTTAAAAAATTTTTTGAGTATATGTAAGAACGAATATTACTGTTAAATGTTTTAAAATAAGATTTCTTTAAAATTCAAGCGAAAGGTTTAACAGAATGGAACAAAATCAACAGTTTTGTTTATCCTGTAATTCTTTTACTTACTAAATTTTACTTTTTCTTTTTATAGATATGGAAATATAAACGTTACGGTAACAGCAAGAATTGACTATGACAAAACGGGCAGGAAAAAAAAAATCTTGATGCGATTCAAAAAATTCCTTCTTGACTATTTGTATGAAGACTGGTATCTTGCTACGACCATTCCAATAGAAATGGCCAGTGAATTAACAGTAAGATATTATTTCTTTCGTTCATACAAACCGAGTGACGCTAGCGTCTGCCATATTCAATTATATGTATTTTTGTAGCCTGCTTTTGTTTACAGATCTTTAAAATAAAGGATGTCTTTTCTTTTTAAATTTTGGATCATATTATTACCCACTATTCACGAATTGATAAATCTTCCTTTTATATGCGGCGTGTCTGTACAGAACGTAATTGATCACGGCTCTCCACAACTTCCTATCCTCTGTGGCTCTTAGTAATGTTTATATTCTTACTATCCCTTCCAGTCCCCATTCCATGATCCATTTATACTCGCTACTCCCTTTTATCCTTCTTGCCTTTGTTATATCCTGTGAGTGTGATATTCGCCAAGCCTTCTTTCCTCATGTATCCGAGAAAATTCAACAGTCGCTTTCTGATCCTAAATATAAGTCTCCTTTTTGTTTCCATTTTCATTAAAACCTCCTCGTTGTTTACATGTCCCGTCCATGATATTCTCAGCATCCTCCTGTAGAATCACAAATTAGTCTTTCTGTGAGGAAATTGTCAAGCATTCCCTGCTATGTTGGTGGACTGATATCGCATAGCAGTTCAGCACTCTTTACTTTGTTTTTAACCAAACTTTCCTGTTTCTTAATACTTTGATTAGTTTCTGGAAGGCATCTTTCGCTATACCAATATGCCTTCGGATTTCGTTGCCACATTTTCTGTCATCTGTTGAAACACTTTTCAGATATTTAATCTTCTGTTTTTGTTTCATTTTGACATATCCAATCCGTGACACACATCTTGGGTTATTTCTCTTGCGTACTTGAGGTATGGTTCTACAGAAGAATGGTATGGATATCATGGACCGAGCGTGTGAGCAACTATGAGGTTTTGAAGAGGATGCAAACAAGGAGGAAGCTTACATTAGGAAGAGGCAGCTGAAATTTCTGGGACACGTAATAAGAAAGGAGGGCTTGGAGAATCTGATACTCACAGGTCGAATAAAGGGAAAGAGAGACTAGGGAAAGCAACGTACGACATAGCTGGCGGGCTTGAGTGGGTGGATGACAGAACATGGCCTGGGGGAAGTAGCAAAGGGACTTATTGGGAGTTACAAAGCATAGGGGGAAGTGGAGAGCCATGATCGCCTACGTCCTGAATGGACACGGCACATAAAAGAAGACATTCTGTCTTCTTACAATTTATGCTTCGTCCTTGCTTTCCTTTATTACCTTATCTTTATTATTTGTGCCTGCTATCTTGAATTGGATGACTACCACAGTGTACTGGTTAATGAGCTCGTCTCTCAGAACGATTCACAAGTGCATCTCATTCAATCCGCAGATCATATTTATTATTAATGATCTTTCTCTTGATACCAAACACTACAGTTATTAAATAAACAATTTCTTGCCTTAAATAAATTATCTTTCAGTACTACTCTGGTCGATTTTTGTCAAAATACAATCTTTGTTATTGTTGTCATACATATATGTTGCTAAACTCTTACATATATACGCATATGTGTATGCGCGCCAGTTAGCTAAACTCTCACACGCACACAGATATCATGTATATAAGTGTTGTGGCCTGTTTAGAGGCCAGAAAGAAAGACACGGAAGACGAAGGTAGGTTGAACAAGTATATTGAAGTAACAAAGCAAAAGTGTTAGTAATAAGCAGATAGAGGTGTACGTCCAAACGGTAGGTTAACACTGCGTCTCCGCTCCCCAACTGACTTCCCTACGACTCTATATTTAATTGTCCCCTACGAGGAATGTATGTGGCACAAGGCCGAGCTTAACGTGGGTTTCTCCGAGGCCATAGGCTCGGTCAAAAATATTCCTTTAGAACCCGCATAAGCGTGTTCGGGATCTGTCTACCTCCCCGGACGAAACCGTGACCTTCGGCAAAGCCTCGTCCGGGTTCCTCTCTGCCAAAGCAGAGAGTTCGACAGAAGTCGCACACAGTCAGAGACTGTCCTACGACTCTTGCTAGGAAGTCTCGCAATTAGTATTTATGAGAGGAGGAAGAGTTCATTCTACTGTACGAGGGTTTAACACAACAATAAGATAGCGAGAAAGATTTATATTAAGAATCCTGCTAATGCTTTGACGTGGATTGATTTCGTTTGTCAGATCCCGCAGTGCTTGAGTTGTGGCTCATACTTCGAGCGACTCCAACAGGCAGAATTATGGATTAGCAGCGGTCCAACAAGCACAGATCTGCACAGTCATGAAAACCATATTCTCCATTGCCTGATCTTTGGAAGAAGAGACTTTACTATCATCCAATCAAAATATAAAAGTGAATTCGATTTTAAACACGAGGTAAGTTTATTCTTTATTTTTTAACTTCTTCCTTATAAATTTTATGATTTTTTTTTATCATTTCACCCCAAGCAAGGTGGAAATGCAACTCGTACGCATGGGCAAATAGGGAGTAAAAGTGAGAGAACGAATATAGGGAGGACTGAGGAAAGAACAAAAGATGAACGGGATTCAAGAAGATAGAAGATGGCGACTGATATTGCATTTAAATTTTTGAAGATTGTTGTTTTTAGGGAAGCTATCATCTCTAGCCAAATCAACGGTAAATTGATGAGACCTTTTTGCATCTGAACAATTGCCATGAAAATGTTTGTAGAAAAGACACGGGCAGACAATTTTACGGCGTTGGGAATGTAATTGAAACCGAGATGACAGATCAGGACCGACGGACATTTGGCTGAACGGACATTTGGCCGAACGCACATTTGGCTGAATGGACATTTCGTCGACGAACATTTCACCGAAAAAGTACATGTAAAAGTAGTACCAAGCAATACTTTAAATATTCTAATTAGCAGTTTTATAAAGTAGAATAGGACTAATAATTACCACTGAATTTCAAGTGATTAAATTACTAAATCGAAATTTAAAGTTTTCTTATTTCCATATTTGTTTATTGAAATTAGTATTTTAAAAAATATTTGAGTGTATTTGGTTAAAAGTAGCACCTAATTATTTAAATTCGTATTTGACAGTAAGATAAAATCTAGTTCATCCTTTTAAGATAATGATCAGTAAATGCGAAACTGAAAGATCTTTCATATCGTAAAAGCTTAATAAAATGTGCTTTTTCTCAAAATACTTATCATGTTACAGTAATATTCCAAGTAAAATATAATATATACAGAATAGGTTTATAAAAGGCCTTTAAAAAAACGAAAAATTATAAATTAATCCAGTAAATTAATATAAATATATGTAGCATTAATACAATAAAGAGTGTGACATACATGTAAGTACGCCACTACATTTTCGCCTAAATGTCCATTCGGTTAAATGCCCGTCGGCGAAATGTCCGTTTGGCGAAATGTCCGTTGGTCAAATGGTACGTTAGTCAAATGTCCGAGTAGCAAATTTCACATATAAAACAGTCATACTGCCAAATTGCTAAAACAAACATACTTGAAGAAATTATGTTTGCAGATGATAGAGACTTTCTGTCGGACAATGAAAGAAGGAAGTGGGCCGTTTTTAATGCGGCTGAGACAATATTAATTAGAAAACTGGAAATAAACCAGGATAACACTGAGTATACAGTATTAGAGAGAGGAAATGGAAACCGAGACGAGCGGAAAAAATCCTTAGAAGGTAGGAACTTTATTAGGAAAGGCTAAGGACATCATCAGACGGAAACCATTGCATCTTGTCTTCAGTCCTTTTCCTGCCACCGTCACGTAGCTACCCTGTGCCTTCTAAAAATACTTTCATGATAATTTTTCTGGTGAGCTTTCCGCTTACCCAGACTTTACGAATTTAAGCGCATTACTAGATTGGCAGCAAGATTTCATTATTCTACAGTTAAAATGGATAGATGTAACCGTAAGTTCTATGCTAACAGTTTCTTCTCTCGCACTTCTCGCTTTATAGAACGCTCTCCTGGCTTCTTGCTTTCGAGACAACTTTAATCTTCAAAAATTTAAATGCAATACCAATCGTCATCTTCTGTCTCATTGAATCCTGTTGGGTTTTTTTTTTGTTTGTTTGTTTTTTTATTGTCCTCTCTCTCCTTAATGATTTTTCTCTGATCATTTTCACAGGCAAGTAACCCCTTGCATCTTAGTGGCTTTAACGCCTTCCCTGGAGTTGAAATAATTGGAAAAAAACGAATGATGTATTTTTTCTATCATCAAATTGATTGTAAACATTCATCGGGATCAAGCAGTATTCAGATGTAGTATCATTCAATTTTATAAATGTCTTTCACAGAAACATGTGCCAAATGAACAAATGATTTTAGAACCGAATATTATTATTATTCCTCTCCCTCTCCTTCTATCTTCTCTCTCTCCCTCTCATTCATTTTCTCTATCTCCTCTCTCTCTCTCTCTCTCTCTCTCTCTCTCTCTCTCTCTCTCTCTTTGTATTTGTTTTTCAGCATTCATTGAACTGAAGGTTAACCATTACTAAATGTAGATTAGCACAGATATTTTTACTAAATATTCAACCAATTCAAGGCCCAAGAGCCACTCAAGGGAGACGGTTATTGAATTAGATTATTGTATAGAAGGGGGGAGTAAGTGCAGATTATGAAAGTATCTAGGATAGATATCGGTTGACCCAAGGCATGAAGAGGTTAAGATTTTAATGATTAGGGAATCATCTTCTCCTGAATTTGTTCCACAGAGTAGAGATTCTTGGGAAGAATCTGCCAGATTAGAACTTCGTTCTTAACCAATAGAATGTGAAGGAGTGAGGATGATTCGACCCTGTGTACGTGGCATAACGGGTCGTACATGTAAAGGTCTGAACTGGTGAAACTAAGAAATGTAATACGTCTGAATATTTTCCATGGAAATAGCGATAAAGTAGCGATAGACGTTTGACGTTTCGTCACTGGGGAATGGACATGAATTGAAAATAACTCATCACCCACAAGTACGGCTCGTAGAATATATAAAGTATAAGTATACAAAGTCTAAATTTGAATTAGACTATCGGAATTATATATATATATATTTATAATTGTTGCCTTTTCTTACCGGAGTGTTTTCACTTGCAGTATCCGACATCTGCATCTGGTCATTCGACGCTAAACATCAATCGAATCAACATGTTTAAATATGAAGGTGTTGCCAATGTTCCATGGAAATATGCGTCAGTCCGGAAAGGAGATTGTATATTCATACCTGCAGGTGGGTTTCATATTATAGATTTTGATTGATTTCTTTTTATTTTTAGATCATTAATTGATTGATTATCTTGGTCGCTTCGCATCTGAAACCGTGGCTGATAAAACCATTTGATCCTTGTTATATAAAATAGAATTACGAAATAGACAAAGTCCGACAATTATTTCAAGACATTTCTTATGTTTATATTGTCTATAAAAAGAACGTATAAACATAAAAAATGTCTAAAAATAATTGTCGGACTTTGTCCTTTTCATAATGTGTGACGTCATTAGTTCAAATTTGAATACACATCGAGCAGATATGAATGCACGAGAGAAAATCATGGAGAATTGTAGTTTAAAAACAGTAAAATCGACTTTGCTATTCGAAACGCTCATCTGTGGCTCAATCGGTAAAAGCATGTCAGGCTATATGACGGTTCCATATAGGATACAGGTTCAACAGGTCGGAGAACGGATATTTTCTATTAGCATTTCTCAGACATTCAGGCCGGTATATTTTGTTCAAAACTGTTTATTATAAAACAGAGCATTTACTTAAATATTTGTATCTATAAAAAGAACGTATAAACATAAAAAAAATGTCATAAAATAGAATCTAATTATTAACCTTTATCAATCTGTATGTGTACAAAAAGTTTATCCTGACACCAAAGGTGACTCTGATCCCAGAACAATTTCGTTTGAATTTCATAGTTGTGCTGTCATATCCTACTATGGCAACAGAAAACACCTTTGAGTGGAATTAACAATAAGGTTACTGCAATTGAGAAGCCTTGAAAAAAAACAGGCAGCTAAAAGGGAAGTAATATTAATAATTCAAAGGGCTAACGGTTAAAAGTAACTGACATGATTAAATACTTTCTGAGACAGAGTTATGCCCCTTTTCTTCTTTATGACTTCTGTTGGGGAAATCACCATTTCATCCGATGTGCTTTACCGTTCAGCCGCGAATAACCATATAGTTAAGCCAGACTCTATTTTCACTTTTTAAGGTAAACACATCCTCTTCACTCAGGTTATTTTTTTCACTAAGTTTCGTATCCGAAACGTAAACAAAGCAGTTTCTAAAGAATTAATGGATTTATTTTTAATCCGATATTTTTATTACTTCAAGCGTGGATACTCGTATTTGAAATAGACGACCCACTCTTACTTATTAAACAGTGTGTATTATATTCATCATGCAGCAAGCCACGGCAGAACTTGTTTAGAGTGAACCTTCATGAAGCAACTGGAAGATCTGGACTTCGCAGATGACATCAGCCTTCTCTCCTACAAACAACAAGATGCGCAGAAGAACTGAGTCGTGTTGCAGAAGAAGCGTAGAAGACTGGCCTCCAAATCAACATCGGGAAGACGGAAGTCATGAGAGTAAACAACTAATAATAAGACCCAATGCGACTACACCAAGAAAACATCAAGGAAGTTGATAAGTTTGTCTACCTGGGAAGCGTCGTCAGTGAAGATTGGGGTGGCGGGGACAGATGAAGACATCAAGTGCCGAATCAGCAAAGCCCGATACGCTTTCAAGACTCTGCGGTCAATCTGGAGATCAACAGCACTCTCATTTTACAACAAGATCTGGATCTTAAACACCAACGTCAAATCGGTCCTACTTTACGGGCTCAGAAACCTGGTGGGTAACCATAAGACCAAAAAGCCACAAACTTCAAACATTTACCAACCGATATCTCAAGAACATCCTCAATATCAGGTGGACGGAAGTCGTCTCCAACGACCAACTGGGACAGGACCAGACAAGCCCCAATTGAGATTGACATCAAGAAACGGAAATGGGGATGGATCGGCCACACACTCCACAAGCCTTCTTCTAATGTCACCAGCCAGGCCCTTGACTGGAATCCACAAAGGGAAGCGAAAAGTGGGTCAACCAAAATGGACTTGGCGCAGAACTGATGATGAAGAGGAGACGGCAGCCAGCACGACATGGGCCGAACTGAAGAGGATCGCCTAGAACCGCATCCGTTGGAGAGAGGTGTTGTTGACGCCCTACGTTCCCCAAGGAATCAAGAGGAATAATAATAATTATAATAATAATAATAATAATAATAATAATAATTACGTTCATCAGCTTGCATATTCGAGAAATCTTAGTAAAAAAAAAAGGATCGACAGGAATCGAACCCGTGCCATTCTTTGTAGCGTTTGATAATTTGAGTGAAGAACATGTGTCTTCCTTAAATGGAGAAAACAGAGCATTGCTTACTGTGACACGACATTTGTTTAAATATTATCAGAGTTGGAACAAAGTTTTTACACAAGACCTGTTGTTATTGTTGTTAAATGAATTTTTATTGAACCCAGAGAATTAACTTGAAACCAACATTTCAGGATAAAACAATCCTCATTTCTTTTGTAGCGAGTAACGAAGCTCACCTACCCGAAATTTAATGAACAGATTCCCCGTTGTATAATGCGCACTTTATTTAACTATTTTTTTTCTAAATCCTCCTGACAGTCTCTTAGCAGGAAGTCCACAGTTTAACGTCATTTTTTAATAAAATTAATCATCTTATGTACATTATTATCGACTGAATTGTTCAGACTAGTATCCTCATCATTGTTGTTATTTCTGTCCTTGTAACCCCCGGCGGTCTTCAAGTGTCGATTATAGTTGGTAACTAACCGGGAATTTCGAAATAAATCCTTTTTTATTATTGAATCCACTGATATTTCTCCTTCTACTGCCCATGCTTAAGGGAGATAAACTCGTATTAATTAAATCTAGTTAATCCATAATTGTGATGTTGTCTCTACTACTGAAGAAATCCGAGGAATATAACGCCTGAAGCAACGCGAATATAAAAACTAAGATGAGGATACTAGTCTGAGCAAATCATTGGAAGCATCCGTAGAGAGATCACAGCCATTGTACTTTGATATGCTAAGCCGCACTGTATTTGAAATGAGAGCGAGTTCGTGCATGTTTCACTTCGTGGTTGGGACCAATCTCAGGGATGTAATATTCAAATTTTACCTAATATGTTGAACTCTTGTATATCAGTTATGCACATATATATATTTAGTACCCTATGTCATTTTTATAATCCAACATATTTGAATTTAAAATGTGTCCCTGCATTATAAATGATAATATATATATATATATATATATATATATATATATATATATATATATATATAGAGAGAGAGAGAGAGAGAGAGAGAGAGAATGGATAAAGGACGTCTGTTAAGCGTTTGGGTGTGTTAAATAAGTCGTTTGATATCGGGTGGAAACTTGTAAAAGAACTTGCTGAAAATGTGTGCGATGGTTCCAGTCCTTTCGACCATCGTTGATGTTCATGGAAAGGAGTTAAAAGTCAAAAGAGAGCATATTGTTAACAATCCAAGGTTTGACTTGAACATCGATTCGTAAGCTATGTCGATGGGATAGATTTTAGAGTCACATGACAAGGCATTTTAACACGTGCGCACAGAGATTGAAGCAAATTTTATTGTGGGTGGATTGCTGTCTTTTGATGTGAAGAACCTCCAAAATTTTTCAACGTTTTTTTTTTTTTGCATTTGGATTGGCAGAGTACTGTTTCTTATTTCAACCATAATGTAACCGTAATTAGAAATGTGGATTTGTGTTAAATGTTCATATTTACTAAGAGGTTAAACGTCTTGAGATAAATATTCTAGTATGACTAATATATGTTGAGTTTTATGATTGACAGACACACAGTCTCCTAGAGAACAAGAAAATTGGTATATAACATTGTAGTGAACAAAACAAGATCTAGATTTAAAAATGCAAATGCTAAGCACTGACTCATTGATTTTGTTAGAAATTAAAAAGACTCGAATTTACAAACTTTGCTTAACATTCACGAGTTTTGTTTTGGACTCGCTTTTGCGTGTGTCTTAAGCAAAGTTTGTAAATTCGAGTCTTTTTAATTTAATTGTTCGTCATAAAATAGTGCTCTGTGAATGAGTGTTCTCTCAGGCTGGAATCATGTTAAGGAGTTTTAACGTAAATCCTGGAACTGTGTGACGAGTTCAAAGGATTCCGATCGGCGCACTGTGGAAGATGAAAGACGTTTCATATTTTATTGCTAACTTTGGTTACGTGATAGGCTCACAGAAGCTTGATAGATTTTGGCAGAATTATTTTTCTAGGTCGATGTTATTAAATATTATGTGACCAATTAGAAGTTGAGATTTTCTAAAAATATACATTAAGCTGAATAAGCTCTGTGATTCACTTTTTGTACGAAAATTGATATTGATATTCGGGCATGATTTAAATATTAAATGACCAATCAGAAGTTGAGGTTTTCTGAAAATATTTACTAAGCTGAATAAGATCTGTGATCCACTTTTTGTACAAAATTTGATGTTGATAAAAAAGGTGGTAGCGGGATGCTAAAAAGTTCTATATCTACGAATTCCATTTTTTTTATTGCTTTTTCGTTTTTTATCGAATTGTAGTCCATCTGCTTTCAGTAAAATAAATGAATTGTATTTTTGTTACGGCATAAATTAGATTTATTTTGTATATCGCTGAGTTGTCAATATTTTTATTTTTTTATTTATTTATTTTTTTTGCCAATATCAGTAGGAAATAGATTATTGCTAAGAGTTTGTTTAAACTTTAATATATGATAATTCTTTTATAGAATATTATTGGAGAGAAAAAGATTAATTCAGTATAGTTGATAATGTTTTTTTATAATTGATATCTTTTATTGGTAAGAGCATTCACTTTGATAATTGAGGAGACAGGAGTTAATATTGGTGTATATTTATTTATTGTATGTTGAAAGGGTGAAGTTTGATAATTACGATCGATGACAAAGAGTTCTTGTTATAAATGCTGAGTTCCTATGTAAAACTAAGTATGGAATAGTTTTTAAAGGTTTGCTTTATTTTTTATATAGTCAAAGTGAGAAGGAATGTGCTGTCGATGTACTAGAGGTTTGTCAGTTGTGTTAGAAATTTTAATTTCGATGTATAATAATTAGAGAAGGAAGATCCTAGAGGAGATCCTATGTCTGCACCATTTCTGTTAATATATTTCCTAGATTATCATAGAAAGAAACTTCAAAATGACCAACGACCATCGAAAGTACACGGAACATTAAACACTAGGAGAAATACGCTAAAATATCTGACACTCCCTTCCACTCCATAATGGTTAAGGTGGGGGGGAGTGAAGCATGATTCTATGGCTATGATAATCAAACCCTTAAATTCCGATATGCGGTAGAGTTAGGATGAAAGACAAATTAAGATGAAAGAAATAAAGATTCATATCAAAATTATGTCGGATCGGTGTAGGTAAACTAGAAATATTGGCTTTACGACACATGGTCTCTAATCCTATTGTAGTCAAGTACCGAAGTGCCATTTACACTTCAGCCTTTATGACTCATCTCCAGTTAATATCTAAGGAGACAGATTTCAAAATTTGAGGCTGGTTATCTCACAACGCGAATAAAAAACACAAAGCATGACGACAGTAAACATTACATTAAAATAATGCTGGAGCGTTTTATTAGTGGTAATGACGCTGTGGGTTTCAAACATAGTCATCATCTGACGAGGAGTTTGTCAGAGGCACCGGTGTTGTAGCTGGGTCAGTCATTGTATCAATTTATACCTTGGATAATCAAATGAAAAATAATTGCCAGTCAAGTAGTTAACAAATTTTAGGTTTTGGAGTTACTTCCCTTGCTTGGGATGCTCAGAAGTTATTTCCCTTAGATTAACAAGATTTACTCACACACTCACTCTCACACACACGCATACATACTCTCTCTCTCTCTCTCTCTCTCTCTCTCTCTCTCTCTCTCTCTCTCTCTCTCTCTCTCTTCCAAATACAAAGTTTTTCTACAATATTTGACAGTTTGGAAAATTAGAATTCAGTTTGTTAGTGTCAGGTTAAACTAATCCAAATTAATTATTTTAATATTCGTTTTTTAAAACAACAAACATTACCATGGGAGTGAAGATAGTTAAAATAATAGCAGTATCAAGGGAAAAAACGTCCTTTTGACATTTATTTTATTGTGGTTAAAGATTGGTAATTTTTTTTATTATTCTATTAATTTAGCAATGTTTTATAAAGTTTTCGAATTTAAAAATGAAATTTCTTGGAAAATAATGATGACACCTACTCCAATGTGGTGAATGGTAGACAATTTATCTTTGCAAGAGACAGTTAAGAAATGTTGCTTTTCCAAACTGGACATATTTTTTCCTTATCCGAATGTAGTTTTTACTGTATAAACTTATTACTTCGTTCAGGCAATTAGCAAACATTTAAATAATTGAGAAAATAAATCAGTTCAATTTGACATACCATTAATCCTCAAAGTAATCACCATGGGCATCCAGAACCTTCTGCCAATGTGCTTCCACCTGCGCAATGCCCTAGCAGAAAAAATAATGTGTCTTGGGTAAAAAGAAATCAGTGAAAATGGTTGTCCAAGGAATTAAAAAGATCGTAATCTGTTGGCGTAAGGTGGATGGCACGGTGTCTCCCAGCCAAGTTGCTATATAGTATCCCAGGCCACCTGCACAATATGAGGCTCTGACATTGTCATAAAGGAACAGTACACCTTTGCAATTAACAAATGCTGTCTCCTTCCGCTTCAGTGCCTGTTGCACAGATTCCAACTGTTGCGAGTACATTTCTCTCATGAAAGTTTGGTCTGTTTGTAGCAGCTTACAGTGTACAACTTGTTGACTAGTCCACAAGCTACAGAGCATGATTTGCATGGGTATAGGGTGGTCTTGTGGTGTGAGACACAGTGTCCTGGACTTAATTTTCACTGGTGAGTACTTGATTAATGGGTATTTTGTGGTACTGTGAAAACAATAAGAAACAGAATGTTACTCATTGCTGTTTGTTGGCTTCTGACAGTGTGTAGGGTACCCACTTGCTCAACTTGTATGCCCCTTCCCTATGCAATTCAGGTGAAGTCTATTTCATCAGAAACTTAGAATTGTTCAGTAAGCTCACTACAGATTTGGCTGTTGTCCTCATCTATGATCACCTTCAGGGCCTCATCAGCCAGGACCTGGAATCAAGTCACTGTGGGGTTTATCAAAAAGGAACAGATCCCCCAACCTGAACTTCTGGAATCAATGCCTGATGGTGCATTCACTCATAATATTATCCCCAAACACTTGATGTATTTGCTAACTTGATGCAGCTGCAGACAAGCTCACCTTAAAGTCTTAAAGCAAACAACCCCAAACGTGCTGCTTTGAAACCGCCATGTTTCTTCACCACTTCTTGAGCTATGACTCATGTGTGTGCACAATGCACCTGCAATGCCCTCACTCCCAACACTTTACTAGGAATGTGATACACTCATTTATATATCAGTGATGACTTCTTCCCACACAATATAAAAATGGCAAGGACTTTTTTGACTTACATTATAATTGCATTTATAGTGGAGGAGTTACGACTTGTTACAAGTGAGAACTTTCAAAATAAATGAATTCAATACAGGGATGATTACTTATCTATATAAAGAACAACATTAATTCAAAAACACAAAAGAATATGAGTGTGCATAAAAAAATATGAGTGTTCAGAAAAAGAAAAAAACCTTTATGATATCAACAGTAGTATTAGATGAATGTTTGTGTTATTTCACCACATAGTTTGGTGAAATTAGATAGTTGGCTTGCCCATCTGCTGTCTCCCCAAAAGAGGAGATTGGACAACATCTTCTATTGCATTCTATGGTTGAGAGGGCAAAAATCAAAAAAGAGTGTTTGAGTTCTTTCCTTTTATATTGCAGATTGCCATGCCACCTGTACAAATGTTTGAAGAAATCTTTGAAAAGATGTTTTGTCTTATATGAAGTTCTTTCAAGTGATTTTGTGATTTTCTGCAATTCTTGACCTGAGGCTCAAATTATAAAAGACAAATCTATAAATGAAGATACAAATTTCTCTCATTCTTTCACTAATTTTTATAACAATTATTGCTTGGTTTGGTTGTTTTGTTTAGCAGCATATCAACTGATAAAGGCTTTTTAATGTCAAAATCTAACTACGAAAATTCAGACTTTATAATTAATTCAAGAGAATGACATTCTTTCATGATTAAATTATAATTACTTAGCTATATTTTTTTTACCAAATAACCTCTCAAAATTAAATTCAAGATTGAAACTTGTTTCATACAAGAAATGAGATTAATCATAGCAAATAATTTTGTCTTTGTTTTTTTGGATATTTTTCTTTTTTGCTATAAAATGTATTGTTGGTCATTTTATCATAAACATTGTTGGTAATTCTACTATAAAATGTATCTTGGAATTTTCAATTAGTTGATTAGTTACTAAAAGAAATTAGTCAAACAGATTAGTATAAATAAATAGAGGTGAAGCAAGTTTGATGTGAAAAAAGCCAAAAATCTGACAAAAAACTACAGCACACCAGTGAGTCATCTGAATGAATCTTTATAATTCATTTTTCAATTGAATTTTATGCAACACCAAGCAATGTAACTATCAAAAGCTGTATTCTCACTGTGGTCATTGTCTAGTATTATGCCAGAATGGTATTTACACAAAATTTCATACCAGATCAATAGAAGACAGGTGTAGATAAAACGTGATTTTGCTCCAGGCTGCCAAATGCAGAATCAAATAACATCAGAACATCTGTTTCTTAGCAAACCTGGGAATGATAAGTATGAAGAGATATATATAAATAACTACCTAAAAAAGAAATGGTTAGTTGTTTTTGTTTAGCAGCATATCAACTATTTGATATTTACTGCCAAAATTTAAATACAAAAAGTTAAAATTCATAATTAATTCAAGAGAATGACATTATTTCATGGTTAAATTATAATTACTTAGCAAAATCAAACAAAGAGTGAAAACTTATTTCTCCTTACAAAAATTGAGATTAATCATAGAAAATTCTGACTATTAAATGTATTGTTGGTCATTTTACCATAAAAATGGATTTCTGGTAATTTTTGTCTTTTATAAAAATGGTAATTTAATGACAAAAAAGGTCATTGATAATTTTTTAATAAAAATGTATTGTTGGTATTTTTATTATAAAAATATATCTTTATACTTTCCTAGTGTTTTGGTTTTTGCTTCGGGATTTCACTATTTGCCCATAGCTTGGATCCTAACAGGGGCTACCACCCAGGACAGGATGGACCTAGGAACAACAGCAATTAAGAAGTGGTTTGACGCTCCTCAAAACTTCTAATCTTCAAATCAGAGACCTTTATGCCAGATGTAATTTATCATCATAGCCAGGATTAAACAATTATTATAATTCTAAATCAGTGGTCACTCAAGCAGTGGGTTTCCAGAAAATGAATTTCAAATTGAAGGAATTTTAGCTACTGAAGGAACTGGCAGGAAATTTCAAACGTATGTATAAGTAATAAAATAACAATTTGATGATTGTTCAAAATGGAGATGGAATTAAAACCTGGAATTGTAAGGGGATGAATAGGACCTGCAATTCTGAGAACCATTCTTCCAGTCTAGATTAAAAAAGTAAAAAATATATATGGAATAATGACTCTTTAAAGACTTCCACTCTTTACTTTTCTTTGCTTCATTTCTTTTGGCAGAATATCTTCACCAAGTTCGTTCTTATGGTCGTGCAATTTCCTACACCATAACATTTGCTCCTGCAATCCATTTTGATCTGAAAGGTTGCCATGGAGATGAAATCAAAAAAACATTTAGACTTAGGGATGCCAATTTTGTGTGGACTTACGTTGATGGTCATCAAGTAAGTAAAACATTTTTTTTACTTGTCTATAACTGTAGGAAGAATCATTAATTCCAAATTATTTTTAGAAAACTTACAGCTATCTTTGTGTTCTTGATATTGCCACCCTAATATTTTAGCTGATTCTTTCATCAAGTGTATAATGCAAAAGAAAAAATTTTTAAATTAATTTTCCAGAAAATATTTGCAGAAAAATGGTCGCTAATGTGCCAAATCAATTCATTGATCTATTTCAGCAATTCTAGATATACAAGAAATATACTCTGAAAAAACACAAGGGAGAGACTGAAAAGTTCACAGCCTGAACGAATTCCAAAATTATTCAGATGTTTGGTCATTTGGGCAGATTTGGAGAAGTTGGTTAGGCTGAGAACTTTCAACACCTCCTCAGAAAGAGTATTTTTTTCACTTTTCTTACAAATTATACATGTGATGAAGACTGAAGAACAATTCAGCCCAACTGTTAACAACCCTAATACAAAAAGATGTGTTTATTGCTTGAAAAAAAATTTGGAATTTTCAAGCATATGTAACAAACAAATAACTCTTACACAATTTTCACTTCTTTTTTGACAGACTTAACTGATCAAATGCAGAAATGTTTCTTTATCAGGTTATAGATATGAAGGGGTGCTGACAAATTCTTGGCACCTCCTCATAAATAGGTTTTATAATAAGCTCATAAAACAAAAAGAAAGTGAAGCAAAATTTTGATGCTATGTTTGAAAATTTAGTAATGGATTTCTACTATACTACTTTGTGTACATCAGGCATTTGCTGACACTCACATTGAATATGTCAAACATGTAATGCATGTGTGGATATACACTCTCACTTCATTCACTATGTAATGTATGTGCAGTATGGACACAAACTCTGGCTTCAATGAGTATGTAAGATATGTGCATTGATTGATTCATTTTTTTATGGCTTATCAACCTTAAGGTTATTTAAAGCCAGAAAATACTTTTAGATTGTAAAAATTTTTTTTGAGATAATAATAGTTGAGGGAAAAAAGTATTACTAATTAACCCATAGCTCGGGGGAGAAGGGTATTTGCACATAGCAAGGTTATTTGCATATAAGTGAATATAACAAACCTGACTGGAATTGGAACTCAGCTCAGTGATTTTGAGTTCCAAGCCATTATCCCTTACATGACTGCACTGAAAATCTAGAAAGAATCATAAAAAGACATAATAAGAAAATCCTAGAAAAACACGCCTGCCAAAACAGTAATAAAACTCATAAACTAAAATTAGATAAAAATAACAAAAAATTATGTGATTGTAGAAACCATAAAAACTGCCCGTTGGAAAATAAATGCCTCACAAAATCCGTGGTATACCAATGCACTATCTCATCCATGGAGAGTCCTAACACTGATAGGATATACATAGGCTCAATGAAGAATAATTTTAAAATTAGATGGAGGCAACACAAGAGCTCCTTCAACAATATTCAAAATAAAAATCAGACATCTCTATCCCAATATTTCTGGCATCTAAAAGAAACAAATAAAACACCAAAAGTAAAATGGAAAATAGTAAATAAAACAAGAACTTGTAAAACCTGGGATGACCCATGCCCTTTATGCCTACAGGAAAAACTACACATCATTAAATTTCTAAATAATGAAAATTTATTAAACCATAGGCAGGAGTTAATGGTTTTTTGCCGACATCAACAAACTTTCGCATTAAATAATTAGCACAAAAAAAAAATTCCCATAGCTTAATAAAAGTCTTAAAAGCTTAGCCAAATCATTAAATAGGAAAAACCCTTTCTGTAGTCTTCAAAAAACAAAAAACAAAAAAAACAAATTGAAATTCAGTGCAATACGGTTTGTATATAAAACACCCACTTGAATAAACAAATAAATAAATAAATAGATAATCAGATGGACAATAATAAAACACAATCCTCCCGACACATAACAAATTGTAGGCGCGCCATAAAAATATCCCGCACTGGGAACCAACTAAAGAATGACCGCCAACATTAGCCTTGAAATAGATACCCTACCCAACCTTAGCAAAACCTCTCAGAAGATGATGAATCTATAGATAAGAATTGACTATCTGACCACTTAACGAAGAAAACTAGCATAGCCACCCCCACAAAAACAAATGTTTTGACGGACAATACCTAAAAACACACGTAAACCAAAAGATAGCTTATTCCTAAAATTCGCTTAAAAATGAAACGAGACTAAACACCTAAATTAAACTTAATTTTGATAATTATTTGGATGATTTTGGCTCTCGTTTTTGAAACATGAGAACTCTTATGTAGCGAAGGAATCATATTTTTAAACAAAAAAATATTATTATTATAATAAAGCTCTACTTATGTATGGAGCACTGTCTTCTTAAAAATAAAAACAAAAATACTAAGGAACTCAACGTGTTCTTTTCTATTTTCTGCATACCTGTGTACTTATATATATGAATTTTATTATTTTGCTCTACTTTGTATTGAGCATTTTTTTAAAAGTAAATGCTACAAACTGGATTTTTACTCTATTTGTTCTTTCTCTCATTTGGATATATGTATATGAATAAAGACAAAAGCAAAACTATTCTTTACCATGTTTTGTCCTCTCATGGACTTTATCAAGGCAAATTATATGCTTTGATAATGTCCATCAGTACGAAACACAATGGTAAAAAATAGTTTTCCCTTTGTCTTTATATCTTAATTTTTATATATATATATATATATATATATATATATGGAGGGAGAGAGAGAGATAATTTATGTATTATATATTTCCTCTTTTTTTATTTGAAGGACATTCTTTAAGAATTCTTTTTTTAATTCCTTCTAAATTTATTTTCAGCAACTTGTCAATACTCGATTCAGTACAGAAAGTCTGCATAAGATTCTTCTTCAATTGCTTGGAAACAAGAATATACTTAACTACCACAAATTTGACCATTTTTATGAACAATGCTTAAAACTGGTAAGTCGTTTTAGCTTTCTAGAGGCACCAGATTACAGAAACGCTATTTTCATGAAACTGCCCTCTTTTAGAGAACCCTTTCCACCTTCTGTCAGTATGACTGATGCTAACCTCCAAGACACTGACTAATTGCGTCTTCTCAGTTTAACATGAAGTGGAAAAATTATATTGAATCTATATGTATATATTACCAGCAATACCCTTGATATGTAACTTAAATTGAGGTTTTAATGTTCTGGAATTATTTATATTAACAAGAGTGGCCAAATGAGAGGATAATTGAGTGATGAGGATTTTTTTTTCCATTACACTCGTCTGACTACTGTACAGCCGGTTGGATCCTTGTAAAATTGCTAGGCCAGCTGCTAGAAAAATTGATTCACTGTTTCTTATATTCTTTTGTAGTGGAACTAAGAAGGATGCGTGAATATTTAAGATTGTGCTGCAAATAAAATATGCAATATCCACAAACATAAATTATAAGAAATAGCCAAATGGTAACGATATTCAATCACGACAAAAAATACATGTTTGAAACAACAAATTAAATTTTATATACACAATTTACAATTTCTTTGTTTGTAATGATGTGTGCAAAAGTATATTTAAGAGAAAAAGTTTTTTGCTATTTTGTAAATGTTCAATGTCTAAAAAGTTGTCTGCCTTTGATTGAAAGGTTGAATTTAACTTAGACAAAAGATTTTTCTATGAAAGATATTAAGTGAAAAAGTTTGTTGTATGGATTTTTCTAATCTCTTATAAAGAAAGTTTGTTTCTTTGGTGGCAATTTTGACACATAATTCCCGTGTGTATCTTTGCGTATGTAAGTCTCAAAATGCAACAAAAATTCATTTGCTGTTTCTACGTCAGTTGAGCCTATTTTTGCACAAATTTTTCACTGTTTTGTTATGGAAATTTCTCAAAGCTTATTTTTATTTAACAACCAATGAAATTCAAGAAAATGTTTGAAAATTGAAATGAGGGTTACTAAACTTTCACATTCATTAATCCCATTGTTGCCTTTGTTGCTTTGTTTGATTAAAAAAAATTCAAAACATCAAAAAAATTTACAAATATAAACTACAATTGAAAGTCTATGCTTATGTCAAACACAAGCATTAACAGAGGGTGAAAAGAAGGAGAGACAAAAAAATAAAAAAATAAATATTAATGTTATTATAACCCTTTCCAATCAGACAAGTAGCTTTGTGTTTATTGTTTTAATCATGGTAGTCTAACTGTGAATCTTTATAAACAGGATAATTCCTAATCTTGAAAATTTCAACAGGTTTTGAGTAATTTAATTCTAATGTTGGTTTACGTAAGAAAGAGACATTTAAAAACATTAAAGTTTATATTCCAAATGTTATTAGGTTAAATTATAAACCCCTTTTTATATACACAACATTTTACCTGACTCAATCTTCAGGAATATATTTAGCAAAAAACATCTGGTCTGGTGCTTCTGCTATGTATTTAAAGATTCTTGATAAAATACAAAGCAGAAGCTGCAATATTATCCGTTCTGACCATCTATAAACTTTATTTCAAATACCAAAATTGACAATGAAAGAAAGCCACAAGAAAAGAAACTCAATGTTAAAACTATAGATAATCTAAAACAAAAAACTAGAAAAAAAACATTTCTCCTTTTCTTTTGTTTATTTGGGGTTAAGCAGGCTTTACATGCATTTAAGCTCTTAAGTAGCATTAGTACAAAACGCATAAGCAGAACACCATAAATTATACTAATGCTGCTTAACAAGTCAAATGCATGTGTATCCAGCTTAACCAATGAAAATCAAACACAAAAATGAAAATATATATCTATATATATTAAATTAAATTTAATATTAAAAAAATTTCTCTTTTCTCTCTCCCTTTTTTCTGTTTTCTTTTTCTTGTGTCTGAATAAATTTATTTTTGTAAAATTTGGTCTGAAGAGATGGACGTCTGAGTTCACAAAATGAATTATCACCTGACCAAATGGATTTTTAAGGATTCTTAATTCAATATTATGTTGTTCTGTTACTTACATTGAGCTCTCTGTGGATTCATATCCTCCTTGGAATTATCCCTACTAATCATCAAGTGATATTATATATATATATATATATATATATATATAGCTGGCCACTCATATTTGAGAATACCCACCTACTAGGGCTATCCAATCCCTATTGCAGATGCTAGCTCAAGCACATTTGTGTTTGTTTAACACCCACAGAACCTACCTGTGGTTTTTACAGCAACTATGCTGGTCGGACCTTAGTTACAGTTTCTGGGAGAGAGTGTGTTATCTAACATGTTCAACAATCTGAACAAGGCCAGCACGCTCAAACCCTTGGTCACAATGACTTGTGAGTATATATATATATATATATATAAGGTGACCAAATGATCAACAATCAGAAATTTAGTGGCAGTTCATTAGTTCATTAGGCCAAGAACATTTCAACAACTTTTTTAAATTATATTATTTTTAATATATTCTACATTCCACTATTTAATCTCTGTCAAAGAATCAACGGTCTTCAACATTACCTCTTCAGACTGCAAGTAAGATGATAAAAACTTATTTTCTTATTTTTTTAAATGAAAACTATCAATATTTGCATATTATTGTTTTTTGTTTTTTCTAGAATGATGACAGGCTACCAAGTTTGGAGGTCTTTCACCAGATGGCACCTAAAAGCCAGGATTTTATTAGCCGAAAGGACATTGAAAAACTGACAGAAAAGCAATTGGAATCAATGGCCAAAGCTTTCAACATTCAACACCACAAAAGAATGGAACTCTGAGACAAGACAACATTGTGCGTATATCTGTGTATGTGTGTGTTTCATCAGCTTATCAATTTCCATAGAAATGAAATACTTATATATGTGTGCATATGCATAACACATATATAAATACTTACATATATGTATATATGTGTATGCATAGATTTATCAGCTTAGGTCAATATCTGAAGGATACCATAAAAGTATTTTACCATTATTGAAAAGACTTCCAGTTATAAGAAATTGTGTGGCGGTGGGGGGAAATGGCTAAGATCTTTGCATATTTGTTACCAGAAATAATGGATAGAATTCAAACAGTGGTCAAACCCATTTTTTCAAATGCAAATTCTTATAAATAGTAGATTCTCTAAATTAATAATTTTCAGATTCTGTTAATATCTATCTATCTATCTATCTATCTATCTATCTATCTCAGTCCGTTAATTATCTATCTATCTATCTATCTATCTATCTATCTATCTATCTCAGTCCGTTAATTATCTATCTATCTATCTATCTATCTATCTATCTCAGTCCATTCATTATCTATCTATCTATCTATCTATCTATCTATCTATCTCAGTCCATTCATTATCTATCTATCTATCTATCTATCTATCTATCTATCTCAGTCCATTCATTATCTATCTATCTATCTATCTATCTCAGTCCGTTAATTATCTATCTATCTATCTATCTATCTATCTATCTATCTCAGTCCATTCATTATCTATCTATCTATCTATCTCAGTCCGTTAATTATCTATCTATCTATCTATCTATCTCAGTCCGTTAATTATCTATCTATCTATCTATCTCAGTCCGTTAATTATCTATCTATCTATCTATCTATCTATCTATCTATCTATCTATCTCAGTCCATTCATTATCTATCTATCTTTCTATCTCAGTCCGTTAATTATCTATCTATCTATCTATCTATCTATCTATCTATCTATCTCAGTTTGTTCATTATCTATCTATCTATCTATCTATCTATCTCAGTCTGTACATCATCTCTTTATCTATCTATCTTCCACCTGCAGGCTAAAAATGCACATAGCTTTTCTGTCAAGGTGGGTGGCTAGATACCCAGCAGTATTAAAAACAAGACCTGTCAAAAGGGTTGATGAATCCTTTTGTGGGATTAACATCACTCTCTAGCAAAATGGGATAAACTGGGCTAACTAGATATAAATGCAGCCAGTGCAGGTTACAACACGGCATTGCTGGGAGGAGGGCTTCCTACACTGAACAACCAGGCTAGAAACTTTTCCTCAATAGAATCAATGACTACATATCAATGACCATGGTGTGGTCTGACCTGGAGAAATCAGCTCTGTCAGATCTCCCAAGACACATATCAATGAATACCTACCAAGACATGTACAGGGCGCTGGTCAGGTTCTCAGCTACACAGCAACCCACCTTCGACCACACCAGTCATGGAACGGATGATGATAATACTTATGATGATGATGAACTTCATATACACTTTGAATATACATATTCTGTCTAAAAAGATCAAGGCACAAATAACTTTTAACTTTTGCACGTGAAAACTTTTCATAGTTTTACCACTTTACCAAAAAATTCTTAACATGTTTACAGCTTTTGCATACATTTTTTTCAAGTGTAAACTATTTTTTAATCATTTCATTCCAAGCAAGGTAATAAAGCCACTAAGACAGAAGAGGTTAAAACCTACAAATTCCACAATGTTCCAGGATCATCCTCATTTTTTCTATGCAAAAAAAGGAATTTGAATTAAAAGAGTATTTTGAAATTTATTTTCCAGCACCATTTGAGAATATTCACTTTTAAATGTCTCCTCATGATTTGTTTGTTTATTATTCCCCCCTCACCAGTTTTTATTTGTCAAAGATTGTGTAGCTTAGTAGTTATTGTCAGAAAAAAAAAAAACCAATGCGCGATGAGTTCAAATTCTAGCCAACTTTATTACATTCCCTTTTTCAGAAATACCCTTGATAAAGTTATCCATCTCTTTCCCCCCAGTTATGGGTTAAATAGCATATAAGACAAGGCTCTCTAGCCACATTTGACAACTAGTCTAGAAGAACAACAATTTTGAATTCAAGACCAGTTGGACTTGGAGCTGGCAATTCCACCTGGTAAAAATCTCTTTGCTACAGCAGCATCACTTAGTGTGGTGAGGCTGTGCCCCTAGTCTTGTGAGGTTGTGGCCCTATATTTCAGGGGGATTTTAATGGCATTAAAGAGGAGGAGAATTGTAGCAAATTTAATGAGAATATCAACATACACATATGGCACTGGTTTTGTATAATCTTTTTTAAAATATATGTCGTTCTTTGCAAATCTTACAAAATTTTCAGTTTTTCTATCATCAATTCACAAAGGTTGACAGTTCTTCATCTAAAAGAATACAATTTTTGAATCTGCAATACATGACTTGATAGCATTTACTGTATTTGCATTCTTCACATTATTTCACCTAAAAGGGACTAAAAAATATCCCCGCAGCCTTCTACATGAAGTTGAGGTATTCTTTAGTACAATAGTGTTAGTAATAGTAATAGTAGCTGTTTCCTCATAAAGAAAAATTTGCCATTCATTAACCAAGTAGTAAGTGCTACCTTTGGTTGAAATTTATAAAATCTTTCTCTTAAAACAATTTTTCAAGAAATTGTTTTTTTCAAGTCCAGTAGCTGTTATTGCTCTTTCCAGTAGTGATGAGAACTTTCCTTCCTAACGTTTTGCTTAAAGTATGTTATTATTTTCTCTTCAAGTTACATATGCTTTCCATTTTAGTTGTTGTTGAAATTCCTCAAGTGATCTGACTTTTTGTTATTTGATCCAGTTCTTTGTTTCTGATTTTGTAGTGCCAGTCCACAAGATTCAAAGAAGAATGGTCTTCATTGAAACCTACAGGTTTCATCCATTGAAAACCATTCTTAACCATTAATCTGAGAAAGTTCAGATGATAATTTACAGATTTCTGAATGGATTTGGTGCCATCCATGCCATCTATATGAAAGTCTCAATCTGATGAGGTTATTGAAAAACATGACAAGTTATTAGGTTAATGTTTTAGTTCTGTAGCAATTTGAGTGTTGGCTGAAACTACCCCTAGCCCAGCCTATTCCATGTTCAGTTTCCTTCCACATATCATAAACTACCAGTACTTGTACCAAGCTTAACTTTATAATGCTGTAATATTAAAGTGCGGTGGTAGAGTTTCTGCCATCAAATATTTTATGTCTCTTAAATAATTCCAAACCATTTAAATATGATTATTTACAATAGCATTAGCCATGAACATTTATATTTTCCTGTTTCAATTTTCTGGTGAATCATTTCTCAATTTAACAACTGAATAAGCTCCTTGCAAGTTGAACAACTATAAAATATGTGTGGAAATTTCTCCATCACTTTGTTAAATCATAAGTATGAATGCAGGTCATTATTTCAAGAAGAAAGAGGGTACAAACAGTTTTCAAAATTCACAAGATGTTCCATTTCACTAAAGTAGACATTAAATGTATAACAGAATTATTGCCTGTATCATTCTTTCTTTCCTATTTTTCTTTCTTTCTTTCTTTCCTTCTATCTTTCCTTCTTTCTTTCTATCTTTCCTTCTTTCCTTCTTTCTTTCCTTCTTTCTTTCTTTCTATCTTTCTTTCTACCAAACACTGTTTCTGATATAACTTTTCTTTCATCCTTCTTTGCAATCAAAACAAAATAGTTCATGTTCAATTTATTAACAACTAGCAGTATGCATAATAAATTCACAGTTTTCTTATTTGAATTTTTCATGAATCCTACTCCTCAAGTCTATGCTTGAATAAGCTCCTTGCAAATTTCATGACTATAAAACACCTCGATTACATCATTAAATATTTGAGCTTAACAACTTTAACCAAATATTGCAATAGCAATCAGAAATATGAATCCAGGTTGTTATTTAAAGGAAGAAGAGGCTTCAAATGAAAAGATTCAAAATTGATAAGATTTTCCATTTCACTGAATCAGACATTAAACACATGAGAACATTATTACCACTTTCAGTTTCCCTGTGTCTCTGATATATCTTTTTTCTGTCTCTCTTTGCAATCAAATAAGAATGGTCCATTATTTATCTGGGGCAATGGCAGAGTGTAATATATGTGCTAACTAACTTACTAACAGAAGAACAAGCAGAATTATAATATAATTATTTGCATTTGGACTAATGTCCTCATATTTTTTGTTATTTTTGCTAATAATAACAACAAAGATGAGGATATTAGTCTGAATATAAATAATGCAAATAACTCCTCATTCAAAAAATTCAGACAGAACTTAACTATGAACTTTTAAATATGGTTTTAAGTTCTGTTTTTCGCACTAGTAAAAATACTTTTAATATTTTACTAAACATTTCTATTTCTAAACATTTTTTCTACAATCAATGTCTCAATGAAAATATAAGCAAATCAGTATGAATATATATTTGAAAGAAGACTACTTAAATTAAAATCAACCTTTCATTCTGAAAACTAGGTGAATACCATCAAGAGTCCATTAACATGACCCACCCCCCCATTTGCATCTAAAAATATTCCATCCCAATGAAAGATTAATGATAAAAAAACTGACTTCTTGGTACAACTGCAAAATTAAGTTCAATGATGATCAAAGAATGGATTTTTGATGATTTAGAATACACTGCAGTTGGGCAAAAACTCAAAGATCAATCAAGCAGAATATACTGCAACAAAACGTAAATGAGCAGGGCGTCCTTCAGGGCTCTATCTTCAAACCTATGCTGTTTCTGATTTTAGTGACTTTCCCAATGTCATCAGTTTCCAACTTGGTAGTAATAAGTTCAACAGATCCAACAAAGTAAAACTGGCAACTGCTCTCAAAAAGGACTTTTCACCAATGGTTAACTGGGGTAAGGAATGGCTTCTAAATTCTATGCCTTCAAAACAAAACTGCTTTCATTTAATCACAATATAGAACTTTGTCTACCTGCCATCTACATCGCTGATGCTAATCTCTAGAAGAGCAGCTCCTTGCATCTTCTTGGGCTCACATATTTCCATTGATATGAAGTGGAGTGAGTATATTCAATCAGTTGCAAGGTCTATAACTAGGAAAGTCAGTTCACTGTGTTGTGCCAAACAATTCTTCTCAACAGAATCCCTCTTGTACATTTATTAATCTACCATTCGTCCATGCATTGAATATTACTGCCATATCTGGTCTGGTACTCCCAGAGATATATCTTGAGATTTCTGACAAAATTCAAAGAAGGGTCTGCAATATAATCAATCCTGACCTAGCATCTCTATTTCAGTGACTTTCCCACTGATGTCACATGGCTTCCCTCTCTCCTTTCTACAAATATTTTCACAGTAATTGTTCTGATGAACTGTACTTCTTAGTAGCTCAACTGCAGGAATTTAAGTGTACTACTAAATTGACAAGGTTTCACCATTTTACTGTTGAACTAGCTAGATGTTCTATTTCTATTTTAATAGTTTATATTATCATTTCTTGCTTTCCTGTTACCTAGAATCTTCAAAAGTTTAAATACAATGCGAATTGCCATCTTCTGCCTTCCTGAACCTTGTTCCTTTATTGATCTTTTCTTCATTTGTCCTCACTAAAGTCTTCTCATTCTCTTCTTTCACTCCCTGTAATTCTCTGTGTCCTAGTGGTATTGTTGTCTTGCTTAGGGGGGAAATTATTTTTTTTTTTTTTAAACGATCTCAAATACTATCTTGAAACTTTTGATATGATTTATCAAATAAGATCCAAGGGTGATAACTCTGATAAATAGCATCAAAATTACTTAATCTGATGAATCATTTATTAATCTCTCTGCTTAAAAATACTTCTGGAGAATTCTAATTTACTTCCCAAATAAATTGGATGATTAGTTTCATCAAATCTTGTAATTGAGGTTTGACTTTGTGACCAAGTGCTGAGCTAACACCTTATACTCTAATCTTAGTTGCAAATTCAACATTCATTTTGAATATCACTCCTAAATCATTCCTAATCTTATATAGCTGCAGGTACTGGTATTGCACTGTATGCATATATTTACATATATGTGTATTTATATGAATGTGTATTTATATATATATATATATGTGTATGTATGTCTATGTCTATATATGTCTGTGTGTGTGTGTGTGTGTGTGTGCTGGTATGAAAGTGTTTTTGCTGAGATAAATTCTGAAATTTTCTGACAATAAAAGGATAAATATTGTTGTTGTTGTTTTTAGTTTTCAGTAAAAAAAAACAAATAATTATTTATTTCTTAAAGTAAAAGCAGAAATTCTTTCAATGTTTTCAAAACGCAAAACATGTAGAAAAGAAACAATGTAGGCATTTTAGTTTATTGGTTGCTTCTATGTGTAAAAAATATGGTTCCTCCAAGAAAATAATACATGAAATAATGATGGTTAAATAGTACAAAATAACTGAGATTGATTGATCTGCAATACAAAATAATATTTATTTAAACAAAAATAACTAAAGAAAAATTTAACAGTTCTAGAAATAAATGGGATATACAACCAAAATTGTTAATGTATTTCAGTGTGAGTTGTCTGTGTAGATGTATTTCTATGAGAAACATCCACTGCCTTTTTTTGCTTTGGTGTAAAAAGTTGATGGCACACAATTTGAAAGGAGTAAAACAGGAAAAGGGAGTTACTTAAGAATTTGTCTGTTTTTATACCCTTGGTGCTGCTGCTGATAATATGTTTATTAAAGCACCACAACATTAATAAAACCTTTCAACTCATTCTATATAACAAAGTCTTTTTAGGATATATTTCAAGCTGCAATTACTTTTTGATCAGTCGTCAAAAAAGAAAAGGTTGAGAAAGAAAGGAAAGAAAAACAAGTATTGAAAAATGTTTTTTAACAAACCCAGATCCATATTTTTTCTCTTCCTTTTTTTAAACATAGATTTTAGTCTGTCTCTTCCCCTTTGGCATTTTGGAAAAAAGAGGAAAAAATAGTGCAAAAAATAATGGCTGCCCAATTATTATTAGAAATTCTATCAATTTTTATTCTATTAACAATAATCTCAGTTTTGCCGAATGAGGATTTGTAACATTTTAAACATTTATTTTTATTTTACTAACACTTACATTATTTACTATATGCATTGGACACATCCACGCATTGGACACACCCAGATTTTGACATGGAATATTTAAGGAAAAAATGCACACCTCATAACCAGAAAAAAACAAAATTATCTCCTTACCTTTATGTGACATCCTTACTAACAATAAAGAAATACAGTATTAGCAGGAATTATACTACTGGTAATTTTTTTAAATAGAAGTTTTAATTACCAAGACATTTTTTTGGAAAAGAAGAATTTTAGTACATTTCATCAAGCATTTATTGAAAATTGTTTTAGTTGTTTTTCAAGGAGCAACATATCTATACATACAGTAAATTCTTAAGAGCTGCAAAGAAATCTACTGGTATCAGTGTACAATTGGTACACATGGTAATAGGTAAAAAAAACAAAAATATAGTACTTGTTGGTAAATGAAGTCCCATAACAGACATGCAGAAAAGCAAATTCCAATACCTGTACATCAGCAAAAAACACACACAAAGCAAGCATCAAAATACCAGTTAAAGGACATATTTCTGTAAAACCTGGGATTTTTACAAAACAAACAGCAAAATATTGTGCAATTCTGTAAATTTCTTTTTCCTGAGTGAATTTTTCAGGAATATTTTTATTGATATCATTTTTGTTCACTTCCAGGATTCCTAGGTTCCGTGCTAAGCTCTATGTGTACAATGATTCCTGGTGAACCCCACTTTTTCGTGATTTTCATGTCCCCACACATACATGATACTGCAGGGTAATTTTTTGGTGCCTTTTTTTTTTTTGAAAAAATCTGTGTTCAGTACTTGACTATATTCATTTAGTTATAGTTTTCTTTACTCACATTCAATTTTTTTATGCAAATTAGTATTTGCATTATTTTAGTTTGAGATTTCCAATATCTCCATTCTTGAAAGAATTACTTCTTTCCCAAGCCAACATACAATTTTTTATTTATTTATTATTTAAATAATAAAAAGTTAACAGTTAATAAACTACCCTATGCAAATAATCACATACTGGCTAATAATTATTTCTACTCAATAACCTTTAGAATAATTTAAAAATATAACAGTTTCCAATAACTGTTAGAATAACACTATGTACTGGAAATATCTGACCTTGCTACCCAAAAACCGCATTGATTAGTACATATAAATAGTTAAGTTACCACCCAACACACATGGCCTAAAGATTGTATTCAATGAAACAAACTATCACCACTTTATGTTAACCCTCCATGTTCACTTTTATATATATATATATATATATATATGTGAAGAATTATAGTCTTAACGTGTGCTATATTTATGGGATAAAGTGCTCAATATCAAGCGTGTGTAATTATAAAAAATGAACATAGAAGTCAACACTTAGAGGCAACAGTCTGTTTCATGCTAGACACAATCGTCAGGCCTGACGGTTGCATCAAGCATGAAACAGACTGTCGCCTCTAAGTGTTGACTTCAATGTTCACTTTATATTTATATATATATATATATATATATATATAATATCACTTGAAGATTAGTAGGGATAATTCGTAGGAGGAATATATA